TATATATATATATATATATATATATATATATATACAAAGTTGTGATTCTAAGATAGAACTTAAGAGTTCAACATGATCAGGGGAGTCCTTGAATTAGCTTTAGTTTAACACATTCTGAAGCAAAGGACATAATACTTGTTATTGTCCAACACATGAGGCTCGGAGTCTAAAATGAAAGCTAATTTAACAGTTCTGCCCTGTCCCATGCTGTTCCACATCAATCCCCAGAGTCTCTGCTAATGGGTAGAGGAGAAGCCATAGATAATTACAAAATGTATCAAATGATGAAAGATAAATGAAAGCTGGAAAATTGAAGAAGTAGCACAATAATGTTCCATTCAGTTTGGGTAGATTATCCCATCTGACTCAAGAACCATTTTTTATCCAGGTCTGGAAGTGAAGATACTATCTACAGAGAACAGTTGAGTTCTAGCTGTTCTCTGAACCTGCTTCTTTTCTTGAAGATATTTCATTATCAGGCTAGGTAATGGGAAGTGGAGTTTCCTGGCTGTTTATTATATCTGATAGCTTGTCCTAACAGCCTTGACTGGGGTATAGTTTCTTCCTTGATTCAAATCAAATAGCTTTACCACAGCCACAAGGCCAGAAAACAATGATATAAAACCTAAAAAGTGAAATATAAATATACATATATATCAATTGACAAGTATGTGTAGGTATAAGATATATAACAAGGTAAGAATGAAAGGTAAAATATGAAAGTTACAGGGAGAATAAAGAGAGAATAAATAATAATAGAATAAAATAACATAAAATACCAGTAAGTATTAAAGACCTTCAGTTATAAGTTAAAAAAATACCACATATAGAGGAATAAAACTGGACAGAGATACTTGGGTTCTTATCAGATAAGAGGAGTAACAAATGAAAGTTGTGCTCTCTGCCTGGAGATGGTTTCATGATGGGTGGATGAGAGTCATGTTAGAGTCCCGGTAATCACAGAGGAGCATACGGCTCAAAGACTGTATTGAGCCAACCCCACATGGACGCAGGCACTGGTGCACTGGAGTATTCTTGTAGCATACAAAGAGGGCTGATGTGGGCAGTGTTCCTAGTCTGGCTAAAGTAAAAGCCCTACAAAATTTCCATACCGTTGTTGTTGTTGTTGTTGTTGTTGTTGTTCAGTCGTTAAGTCATGTCTGACTCTCCCCATGAACCATATTGCGCCAGGCCTTCCTGTCCTTCACTGCCTCCCTGAGTTTGCTCAGTTTCATGCTCATTG